TCTTTCCAGATCCAAACCCACTTTTCACTGTGCTTATTTTTTAATTGTGCAGTTGTCTTTTCTGGGAATTGTGAGAAGAGAAAAGCTGTCTTTTTTAGTCCTCCACTTACTCACTTCTCCTGCAGGGTTCTTTCCTGCAGACCTGAAGTTGTCTGTGGCCTCAGTTTCTTTCATTCTCAAGGGTACTGTTTAGAGGGCCCTTGGTGATTTGCCACGGGTCTCTACTCTTATCCCTTCCGTATCTGAGATGCTACTTACTTGACTAGTGTCTGTTTTTCTTGATTGGAATGAGCCATCATTCTTATTATTCCCATGTATACAGTACTTTTCCCCAACTGACTGTTAAGATTCCAGTTTGTCTGTGACTTGCCTGGCTGTTGTCTTCTTTTTCTTAGAATCTGGGGTTTGCTTTGAGTTAGGCTTTTTCTTCCTCTGAGTTTATGTTTCACCGTGCAGTCCACAATACCTTTGCACTTCTTGTGTTTCATAGACTGGCCTTGAGCCGATTATTTTCCTGCCTCAGCCTCGTAAGTGCTGGAGTTATAGGCACGAGCATCCATGCTAGCTCAAGTCAGCTCTTTGAAAAGATCAAACAGGACATTTTAGCTGTTTCACTTTCCTTCCCACTCATGGTCTCTTGCATGGATCCTGCACTTACGTATTTATTCACCTTTATTATTTTAACCAGTTTTCCCACTTCTTGGGTGTTTAGATTCTTTCTCCTTGTCCGTCATGAAATAAACAGAATCCTTTGCTGCTGTCTCAAATCTGTTAACTTTATCTAGTTATTTGTTCCACTATTCAAGTATTGGAATTCTAGTTTGTAATTTTTGTTTCCTTTTTAAAATTTCGCTTTCCATGCTAAAACTACCTATTTGTTCTCTTATAAAATATTTCCCAAGGGCGGGAGAGATGGCCCAGTGGTTAGGAGCACTGTCTGCTGCTATGATCCTATTCCAGTCTGATCTGTGCCAGCCATTGACCTGTGATTCTTCCCCCTCATCTATGCCTGTAATTCACATGTTTGCTCTTTTGGTGGTGGTGTCCTGTATTTCCTGCATGTTTCTTTCTTGTACTTTTTTCATACTTCTTATTTTGTCCAGATCTTTCTCTTTGTTTTTGAGTCCCAGGAGTCTACTTTCTTGTTTGATTTACTCAAACTATAAGACTTCATCTGAGTTTTCTAATTAGAATATTGAGGTTTTCAATTTCATCTTCATTTTAGTGTGTGTTATCATCAGTGTTTCTATCTCAATTTATTTTAATTTTCAAATCCTGAATTACCTTGGTCATTTCATTCAGCAAGATATCTGTATAATCTTGGACATTACTTAAATTATTATTATTATCCTCTTGGAGTTCGTGGAAGTATTTATTTGTGTCTTCTTCAAATCCCTTGATAAAGTTTATGATTGTTCTTTTAAATTCTGTGTCCTGGGGTTCATCTAGGTAATTCTCACTATAGAACACTTCTCTAGGCCTGGTGGGTTTGATGGTATACATGTTGTCTTGATGACTCAGGTGGTTTTGGTTTTAGTGATTTGATCTGGCATGCAAACTTCCCTCTTTAGTTATGTTTCTGGTGTGGTAATCTGCCTTGTCTTAGACTGGGCCAGTGCAGGAGATGCATGATCTGAGCTAGACCAGGTAAAGCTGGTGGATGAGCTGTATAATTGGACCAGGGAAAGGTAGCTCCAAAACCATAGTCCTGGAGCTAGGCCTGTGAGTGCCGAGATGGCAGTGGGCAGAGGAAGAGTGATGGAAAAAAGGGGGGCTCAGCAGGTTTGAGGGCCACTGATCTGGACCTAGGTCTGTGGGTGCAGAGAATGCCACAGGCAGGGGAGGTAATGGGTAAGGATGGGCACCATGGGAAAGAGAAGTGACTTACTCAGCAGAGGTGTTTCGGGAACAAAGAGCTTTCTTGGGCTGCATCTGGAACTGGGCCAGTGGGGGGAAGGGAAGGCAAAGGAAAGAAGCAACTTACTTAGGAAAGTTGGCTCACAAACTTGCTGGGTATAGTGTTGACCTATCTGTAGATAATCAAATGGCTGTGGTTGTATGGGAGTATATCACATTCCTAGTCTATTACATTAATCCATATGTCTATTTTGATACCAATACTGCACATTATTTATCATTATTATTGTTTTAGTGTGCATGCTTTTAATTTCTACTTTAATCATGTTGCTTGCTATGGGTATGGTTACATTTTTATCTGTTTGTTTAGTTTTGGTAGGTCCTATCTATTTAAAATTTCATCCTTTACATTTCTAATTTGGTAGAATAGGTTTGTTGAATATATTCTTAAGATTTTCTGTATTTCATTACTATCTAGTGTAATCTGCCTCTTTATCTCTAGTTTTACAGTTTTTAGTCGTTTCTCTATTACTTATTATTGACTTGGTGAAAGGTTTGTCAGTCTTGTTTGTTTTTTCAAAGCACCAATTCTTTTTTTTTTTTAATTCTTTAATTACTACTCATACTTACATATCCATCCCCCCATTCCCTCACCCTCCCATCCTCCCATGTTCCCCACCACCACCCCCAACCCACCCCCAACTCCTCCCCAGGGATAGTGAGGCCCTTCAAGGGGGACCTTCAAAGTCTGTCATATCATTTGGGGGAGGGCCTAGGCCCTCCTTGCTATATCTGGGCTTCAAAGCACCAATTCTTCATTCTCTTTTAGAATTATTTTTGTTTGTTTCTATTTCATTGATTTGTGCCCTGATCCTAATTATTTCTGTTTACTGGGTTAGATCTGGTTTGTTTTGTTCTTCCCATGCCTTGAGATGCCTCATGGTGGTTGTTTTGAGATCGCGCTTGATTTTGTCACATGAACAATTAGAGCTAAAGGGACTACATTCATTGTATCTCATCGGTTTTAGAATGTTGTGGGAATTTTCATTCAGTTCTAGAAACGTGTAAATTATTTTGAATTCTTCAGGGACCCAGTCATTTCTCAGTAGTGTGCTGTTTAGTCTCCTTGAGTTTGTGTATTTTCTATAGTTTCTCTTGCTGTTGAATTTTAGTTTCAGTCCATGGTCTTTTAGAATACAGAAAATTATTTCAATTACACTGTTTGTTGAGACTAGCTTCGTGCCCCAGGACATGATCAGTTTTAGAAGGAGTCATGTGGACTGTTGGGAAGAATGTGTATTCTGTAGTGTTTGGGTGAAATGCTCTATAGCCTGTTAGTTCATTTTATCTATGCTGTCATTTGCTCTGATGTTGGATTTTTGCCTAGAGGACTTGTCTGTTAGTGAGAATAGGATATTAAAGCCACTTACTATTGCTTTAATTGGTGTTAATCTGTGTCTTTAAATCTCATAGTATTTGCTTTATGGAATTGTGTCAACAGTGTACAGTGTAATATGCTTAGAATTTTAATGTTCTCTTGATGGATTGCTTCCTTAATCAGTATGAAGTGACCATTATTTCTTCTGAGTAGTGTTGGTTTGACAACAGTTTTGTCAGTTATCAGAATACCTACACCCACGTGTTCCATTGGATTAAGGTAACTTTGCCCATTCTTTCACCCTAAAGTATCCACCTTTTGTTTGTGAGGTATGTTTCTTGGATATAGCAAAAGGAGGGATCACACTTTCTAACCCAGTCAGCTATTCTGTACCTTTTCATTGGAGAATCTAATCCATTTCTGTTCAGAATTGTTATCAAAAGGTGTATATTAATTCAATTCCTGTCATTTTGTTGATTGTATGGGATTTGATGGTTTTAAGCCCTCATTTGGTTGACAATTGTCTTGGAAACCCCCCCCCTTTTTTTAGAAAAAAATATGGCTTCTTGGATGTCTTTATCATTCTCTTCCATTCAAAGTATTCCTTCCAGTCTCTACTGTAGTGTTGACCTAGTTAGTGGTCATATATTGCTTTAGCCTACTTTTGTCATGCAAAGTTTTTTTTCCTAACATTGTGATAGTTCTGTTGGATATAGTATCTGGGTGGGCAGTCAGGGTCTTTTTCAGAACTTGAAACATGGTTTCATGCCCTTCTAGCATTTAGAGTTTGCATTGAAAAATCAGCTTTTACTCTGATAGGCCTGCCCTTATGTGTGACTTGGTCCTTCTCTCTTGCCACTTTCAATACACTTTTTTTTTTTCCCGAATTTTTAGTGTTTTGACTATAGTATAATGTGAGGAATTTCTTTTTTCTAGTTCCGCCTATTTTGTGTTCTTCATGCCTCTTTTATCCGGATGGTTATCTATTTTCCTAGGATTGGGCAATTTTCTTCCATTATCTTATTGAAAATATTTTCTGTGTCTTTAACATGGGACTTTTCCTCTTCTGTGCCCATAATTCATAAATTTTGTCTTTTCACACTGTCTCAAAAATCCACTATGTTTTATTCTTCTATATATATTTAAATTTATTGTTGGCCTTAATGAATGATTCATATCCTTTGACTTATCCTTATGTCTGATCACTGTTTGCCATGTGATCCATTCTATTGGTCATGATTTTTACTGAGGTTTTTATTTGAGTTACTGAAAATTTAATTTCCAGTATTATTTATTTGCTCTGTTTTCATTCCTGTTTGAAATGAGCAGGCAGTTTTATTGGCTTATAACCTGCTAAGTAGGCTAGCCTGTTGGCCAACAAGCTTTGGGGACCCTCCTGTCTCTGCTTTCCCAGAGTTAGGATGACAAGCCTTTACCACAATGCCTGGATTGCTTGTTGTTGTTGTTTCTAATATGGGCTCAGGATCAAGGTCATGCTTGCATAGAAAGCACTTTACAAACTGAGCTGACTAGACACAGTAATGTATCATTTATATGAATATTCATTTCTTTAAATGCCATATTTAAACAGATAGGTCAATAGTATTTTGAAATGAGCAAGCAGATGTGAGCAAAGAAAAAAAGTTGGAAGAGACTTACTGAAATGAAAATACTAGAGACTGAAATGCTGTGTGGGTTTGACTGTCAGAGCAAGATACCACTATCAAATGACTTTCTGGTAATCTTTGCAATATTTCCCTTGAAGTTGGACATGAGAACAAAAATGATGGAAGCAAAGTTTTATGAAGAAAAGCTTAAGCTGCAACAGAAACATGATGCTGATGTGCAGAAGGTAGGGTATATACACTTACGTTGTATGCAGTATTTACTGTGTTCTGGGGCTTGTGATGGACCATGCATCCGTCTATCTATCTATAGATTAGGTGATTGATAATATTGTATCTTGTAAATGAAATTTACTGAAGTAAAATCCCATCAAAAGCAATCTGTAAACTTTATTTGTAAAATATGTCTATTTCTGTCCTATTTTTACATTACCTATTACTTCTTCAACTCTAATCTTAAGGCTGAATTTTATAGTTTTTACCACATCTGATTTTTGCAACTGTGTGTGTGTGTGTGTGTGTGTGTGTGTGTGTGTGTGTGTGTGTGTGTATGAAACATGTATAAGGATGTAATTGCATGTGTTTGTGGAGACTAGAGGTCCACTTTGCATGTCTTTCTCTATTGTTTTCCAACTCATTTTCTGAGGTGGGTCTTTCACTGAACCTGGAACTTATCATTTTGGCTAGACTAGCTCACCAGGAAATGGCCCTCCTCCCTGGCTGGGACCTGCATGCTGCCATGACTGGTTTTCATTTGTGTTGGGGATCTGAACTCAGGTCCTCATGCTTGTGTAACAATTTTACCCATCTTTTCATCCTTCATCTTTTTTCTAAGCAACAAGGAAACAACTCCTTATGTATTTTAAAAAAATGTGATGTGTTTATTTTCCTTTCCTCTTCCCCATTCAAATGATAAAAACAATATTCTTGCTGTAATGAAAAATTTACCTTTGTTTAAATAAAAGTTTTTATAAATTTATGTAATGAAATTTTATCTCCAGCTCAGCTGCCTGTAACACAGATGGTCTCTCTCTTGGGCCATTGCCTGCTTCTCAGTGACTTTCTAGAACTCAGCACAAACTTTTGTTACCTCCTCATTCTTCATAGTTGCAAAACCTGCACCACATGGGCAACATCAAGTCTTCATGCCAATTTGAGATATATCCTGGCCTTCTTGGGCTATTGATGAATTGCCTCTTGTGTCTTTGAGGTTGAACCTGGCTAAAAACAAAAAACAAAAAACAAAACAAAACAACAACAACCAAAAAAACCACTTTGCTAGGTAACGCTGCTTGAGCAGGATTCCCTGCTGGTTCTCTTTGTTTAGTTACTCTTTTTTCAAATGAAAAAATATAGGTAATTTTGTATTGCTGTATAACCCTGCTGGATGTCTGAAGTCTTAAGCTTCCTGGCTCCTTTCCTCTTGTCCCAGTACTAAATCTGTGGTGTCTCTTTAAAGGCGCTATTCTCTTCAACAGATACACATGTTTTGTCCTCAACTTTAACTGGATTCAAACTTTTTTTCCAAACTGTATATTTCTTTCTGCTCTCATTCTCTATAAACCTGACTAAGATGGTAAGTAGTAACTATGCCACATCCTGGGTTAGTTTTCTGTCTCAGTTTTCTTTATCTATGACTTTCTGGTTAAACTTCATGTATTTTCAGGATATGAGCAGAATGCAGCCAAATTCTTTGCCAGAATAAAACATGAATGGCATCAAGCCCAGTGTCTGAGAGTCATGACTCCTGATACAGCATCAGACTGTCCTTACTGTCTACATTTTTATTGTCATTCTAGTTTCCCACACTTGAGCCACAAGAGCTTAATAAGCTCTGCCTTTGATATGCTAGGGTTCCTTTAGCCTGCAGCTCTCAAGTCTCCCTTTCCCTCCTGCAAACCAGTTCCAAATTCTCAGAACCACATGGTCAGGCTTATCACAGCAGTGATCTCACTGCTTGGTACCAGGTTACTAATTTATTCATCCCATACCACTAATACCAAATAACTGAGAAAGAGCAGCTCAAGAAGAAGGGAAAAGTTATATTGGTCCATAGTTTGTGGGGATGTGGTCTAGCAGCCATAGGGTTGAGACTGAAGCAAGAAAGGTAAAGTAAAATGCTGCTAATAAAAACACTAAGAAAACCTCCTTTGGCATTGTTGAACAACTTTCTTGAACTTGGTTGAGGGTGTGGGCTGTAGCCGCACTGTAAGAGCAGCAGCCAGACCATCTCCCACCTCTCTCTGGTTTTCTTCTGAGCTCCTGGGTAACATTTTCTACTGTTTATTCACTCTCTGATGTTGGTTACTTATGTTTTTTTTGTTGTTTCTTATTGTGAAGTATAAGTCATAGTTACATTTATTAAGTGGTTAAGTGTGAAAAAACTGATAAATGTAATTGCTGTAAAAGTTATTAAGTTTCTGAGATTTTGAGTTCATTTTTTTCTTGATTCATAAACAGAGATAGATAGAAATGGAACCTGTTGTGTCTCATCATTCCATGTATCTAGGAGGTCTTGGCTTTAAGTAGTGAAACAGGAGAATGACACTGGTAGGAAGATCCCTGGATATATTCATCTGAACGATGTTACATCCCAGTAGAGTTCAATGGAGTGTACTACCCAACAGAGCCGGTTTCTGATGACTTCTTCCTGCCACCTTATGACAATTGAATTTCCAAATGATATTTTAGGCATTCATGTAATTCATTATTCATAGTCTTTTAAAAAGTATGTGTGAAAATTCTAAACAATGATTTTAAAATAACTTACTCTAGTGTGTTAATATTTTTATCAGTGTATATAAATAATTTTTCTATTTAGGTAAAAGCATTTATGAGATTGGTAGACTGGAAAAATACTTTGCTCACTTGTAATTTACATCCTATACTTAATTCTGTAAACTAAGGCACTGTACATTCTTTTTGCAGATTTTAGAAAGAAAGAATAATGAACTAGAAGATTTGAAAATCTTATATAGAAAGAAACAAGCTGAAAATGATGAATCTGTGAGAAAGCTTGAAAAGAAAGGTGATGGTGTATGATGTGAATCTTCTAATAAGATTTTGAATTTATTTTAATGATTTAAATTTTAATTTCTGAGATTTTGTGAGCATGCATCGATAGGTTTATATGAACTTTCATGTGGCTAGGTAAAATGTGTGTGTTTTTAAGAGAGAAAGTCAGGAGTGCAGTGGCAACTGAGACTGGCAGAAAAATCTTAAAATATATTTCCCATTTACACATTCATTGAGAAGGAAAAAGAAAGTATTAATTTAGCTACATTATGAACTAAAATATTAAAAATTTCAAATATTCACAAGAGAAATGTCATGTTTCAGAGAAAATAACTTTTGTTTCATTTTGTAAAGTTGGACATGATTTAATTCATTCAAGAGAGGAGTTCCTCATCTTGGGGTAGGAACTCTAAAGTTGGTGAGCTTTTTTTTTTTTGTGTGTGTGTGCGTGTGTGTGTGTGTGTGTGTGTGTGTGTGTGTGTGTGTGTGTACACTGGGCAGATGTTTGACCACTGAGTACATTTCTAGCCCACAGACTTGTGGCTCTGTCTTTCTGTGTCTTTCTTACGGAATTAAGTACATGCTTTGATATGGGCTCAGAATATTGGAGTTATAGCCTTGGGATTAGTGAGAATGGAGTTGAAGAATTATGGTTTGGTAAAGGAAGAGATATAGACAGTTAGTAAGAATGAAAGACAAAGGGAGACTTTGATCTAGGATGGTGCCAGGTCCGTTGGGTTTCTCCCCAAACCTGAGTAGATAGTAATATTCCTGACAGGTTAGCAGGGCAGTTACAGGTGGGAATAAATCAGAGAATTAGACATTTTCAGATATAGTATCCTAAGTGATCCTTTGGAGAAAGAGCCCAGATTTTGTGCAAATGAGACGGATTTCTTTCTCTCATTGCAAGGGGAGGGTTCTGTTTGGTGAGTGTTTTAAAAAGACTGCACTCACACTCCATGAGGAGAAATTTTTCAACAATGGAGAAGAAGTATATAAAGGTAAGTGATGACATTGGGTAGTAAAACCTGAAAGAACGTGTCATTGGGAGCCTGCAGGGAGAGGCTGGTATATTTACAGCGCAGTTTTAAGATGTGGAGGAGGCAAGAGGTGGATCCAGAGAGCAGCTGGAGCATAGGGAGCCATTTTCCCTGTCAGAGCCTTGGCCCATATGCTTTAGAGGAGGAGAACTTTAGCATGGTCCCCAGCCTGGCACTCATTCTGGGGTCTGCACCATTGGGTGGGCTCTTTAAAGTGACAGAGGCCACATTAGAAGAGAGATGCTTAAGGCTAGCATGCTGTTTAAGTGTTCTAGGAAGAGAATAAACTAATTAATCAAGCTTATCTATGATTATAGAAGTGAACAAAATACAAGAGATAAGAGGTGTTTTAGAAAAGTAAGACTTACTGAAAAATTATCTATTAAATCTATCATTACATTTAGATATCGTCAAATCCTAATGTGGTTCCTAGAACTGGTTTAACTATATTTTCATCATTTTTGACAGTTCAGATCCTTATACGTGACTGTCAAGTTATCAGAGAAACTAAAGAAAACCAGATAGCAGAACTGAAGAAGATGTGTGAGCAAAGCACAGAATGTCTGAATAACGATTGGGAAAAAAAGGTAAATTCCTGAAGTCCGCCACGTGAACTGTGAGGATGTGTCTGAAAAGGACATGCTCAGCATGTGGAAAATGATTAAAAATTCAAGATTAAATAGAAATAGCTAGTCTCATATTTTGATATATTTTCTTCTCAAAGTTTATGGTCTTATAAATAGTTTTTGTTTTAAGGTCATATTTTTTTTTACTCTTTTTTTTTTGGTGGGGGGGAGTTCGAGACAGGGTTTCTCTGTGGCTTTGGAGGCTGTCCTGGAACTAGCTATTGTAGACCAGGCTAGTCTTGAACTCACAGAGATCTGCCTGCCTCTGCCTCCCGAGTGCTGGGATTAAAGGCGTGCGCCCCCAACGCCCGGTTTTTTTTACTTATTTTTTATTGAATTAATGTTTTTTTTTTTTTTTTCCAGAGCTAGTAGGTGTTAAGCAAAACGATGACAGAATTTGGGATTTGGGTCATTTTTCTCTTAAAATGCCAGGTACTGTTATATAACCCAGATTGAAGTTTATAGTACAAACTTATTTTGATGAGTAAAATCCCTAGTGGATTGTTCCTGCTTGCATGCACCAGGGAAGCCCTGAGTTGTTGGTACTGGGGCTTCGTGATTATCTTGGGTCACTTTTGAGAACTACATGTAGCCCTGGATTGAAAATAAAGACTTTTCCCAGATTACAGAATCAACAGTCAGATTTGAAGGACTGCTTGCAGTAGTCAAACTGCCTCCATTAAATTTTCAAAATCCAAGGGTCTTCTGGACGGCTCTTCTTGTTGAGCTCCAAACTGGAACGGGATTCTTGGGACTCTTGCTAGGCTGTTACTGTGCTCCTCGCCTTCTTTCTGCTTCTAGTTTCAGTGTCTCCCTTGTCAGGTGGGAGTTCGTGCTGCCTTTGTGAGCCCCTTGCCTTTCTCCCAGTTCACAGATCGTGAGTCAAAAGCATCTGTTATCTCTTCTGAACCCCTACTTTCCCCATCTCACAGTGGCATTGGATCCAGGGAATATAAGCTAGATTCCCAGTAAGATCAAAGAAGGAATGGCCACAGGCCTACAGCAGCTTTCAACCTCTGCCCGGAAGCTCACTACTGAATCCTGTCTGGGTTTCCACTCTTGACTTTGCCTCCTCACAGTGATTTTGATAAAACTTCATCCATTTAGTCAACATAAAAATATCGATCAATTAAGACCTTTGTGTATGATACTTGTGATATACAATTATTAGTTATTAGCTTTGCTGTATGTTCTACTCATAAACATGATCTTTGTGTTTGTTGTTTTTATTGATCATGGGATGCCGAGTGAGTATCTTATTGGGAATTTGCGTAGGTCAGGAAGCATTTTACATTTGTACAAATGAAATAAAGAACAGTTGCTATTCACAATGAACAACAATAAGATTACTAATATTTCTTTTTGTGTATTTTCAGGCTCCTAATAATATTGTTTAATTGAGAAATATATTATCAATCAGATTTACTTTCTATCCAAGACAGAAAATTCCTGTAGTGTTGCCCATCCATTTAAAATTTTCTGTTCTGGAAAGCAGAGAAAAAATTGTATGCTCTTTGTATAATATTTTTACTTGTGAGTTTTAAATTCTTGTTTAGATCTTTCTAGATATAAACAGAAATATTGGAAAACAGTGTTTGAATTTCAAAATAACATAGTCGATGGTAGTGAAAAACTCTTGACTCCATTGTGCAGCTTCACAGTGCTGTAGCAGAAATGGAAAAGGAAAAGTTTGAGCTTCAAAAGCGGCACACTGAGACTATCCAAGAACTGCTGGAGGACACAAACATGCGCCTGAATAAAATGGAGGGCGACTACATGGTGCAGACACAGTCCACAGTAAGTGCTTTGCTTTTCTCTGCGTCTGCCTTATTTTCCATGTCCTCGTCCTTCACTGATACACATTTTATATAAATTTGTTGCTAAATTTAAAGAAAAAAGCTTTAGTTTCTTACTTGATACAGTGAGAGCAGACAGCCGATAGAAGCTCACTAAGAGGGTGAACTCTGGATTGTTTGATGCTACCTCTGTGTCTTAATCTCCTAGAAGTGGTTGCAGATCTTTTTTCTCGTTAACTTTTAGTTCAGAGACAATTACTTCCCTTTAAAGCTCTTTTAAACTGAAGATTTGAGTGTTTTTGATGCTATTTAAAGTTGCTGTGAAGGAGATTAAAGCACTACTGCTCTGACACATTTCCTTAAAGCATCTTGACTGAGGCAACACATACATACATATGTCACTTGGACAAATCTCAAATCCTTAACAATTTGGGTGTCTTCTTAACTCTTTGAATATTAAGTTTTCTCATTTCTGTGAAAAGAAAATAATAGTGTTGACAATACTAAATTGATATGTAAATGAAGTTACATAATAAGCTTTCAATATTTAGATTCTTTGAAAATTATAAGAATTATAGAGTCATATAAGTAAGTGAAAAAGACTCAGTTTAAGGAAATAATACTTGTCTGTGGATGGGATTTTTGGCCTCCTTTCCTTGTAAAAATGACAAAAAGGAGATGAAAAAGTCAGAAATAATGATGAACAAAACCCACAAGAACTTTTTGGAGTTTGGAGTTAGCACCTTACACAATGGTGCAAAGAAAGAAAGATTAGTTTTGGCTTACTCTTTCAGAAGGTCTGAGTCTGTGATGTCAGGGAAGGCCTGTGGAGTTCATGGCGATGGGAACATGTGGCAGAGGCTCCTTATATGACAGCAAGCTAGAAGCAAAGAAATTACTGACAGACCCAGGATACAGAAACTAACCTTCAAAGGCTCACCCCTAGTCACATAGGTCCCACCTACTAAAGGCTTCACAGGCTACTGAAACAGCAGAGCTACCTGGAAACCATGCTTTCAAGATATGACCCCATGGGAGGTTCAAATCATAACAGCTCTGGGAAGGCAATGGAGAAGTTGAAGGTTCAGGAAGGTGACCCAGGACTCTGGGAAGCATAGGTGAGTTGTTCCCTGTAGCCTGCGGAGGCATCAGGCAGCTCAGGGGTCTGCAATATGGGGATTTCTGGTCTGTAAGAAGAGGCTAGGGTGAGGGCAGAAGGATGCTTCCACATTTGCATGTGGTTAAAATGTCCTCCATGTGACTTTTTAAACTGAGAGACTAAGCAAGAGCAGACAGCAGGTCTGGATGGTCTCTCCCAGCTTGTGGAGCATAGGCTCGTCTGACTTGGGATTCCTCAGAGAGCACTGGGTTCCCAGATCATGGAACATAGGCTTGTCTGACTTGTGACTCCTCAGAGAACACTGGGTTGTCTTCTGGAGTGAGGAAACAGTCTCAGAATTTGCCTCAGTTTGCTAAGCGTGGAGGACAGAGTTCCTAGAGTCCTTGGAGCCCTTTGAGTTCTTCGGGTAGCAGGCTGTAAAACACCACTGCCCTACCTCCCAAAGAAAACAGTTGCTTATAAGGAAAAAGAGTATCAATGCCTTTAGAGTTTTTAACTCTGTGTTCAATGCCAGAAAACAGGGGGGCCACACCTATAAGACGCATGCTAGAAAAATAGATATGGCCCTAGTGCTTTCCAAATGAATAAGTAGTTTTAAACACTAGCAGATCCCTGGGGTTTGCACATGCTAAATGTCACTAGAGTGCTTTTAGAAATGGCATTTGTCATTATTTGTGCTCTTTGAATATTTTTGCATTCTTTTGTTAAGAGAAATGTATTCATAGAAATTATTTTTTTAAAGAGCTATTTATTCTGTCTCTTAGGCATTATTTTGTGTTTTCTATTCTTGCCGTTTCTCACTGTTCTTTATTTCTATCTGTGAAAGCTTCTTTGGTTCTACCATCATCAATTTATTCTTTAATAAGTTTGCTCCTACTTACTGCATCTGTTACACTTTTTATTTCGACTATTTTTTCATGCCCAGTGTTTTCATTTGACTCTAAAAAAAAAGCCCTCCTAGTTAATTTCTTCTTGTGTCTTTTGTCAATACTACCTTGAGTATATTTATTATGTTAGATCTATCTGGTCTAATTATATTTAGACTATTATAATGTACTATGTACTATGAATGATAACATGATACTTATTGCTGGCCTAGTTAGTTTTTACTGTCAACTTGATACAACCTAGAGTCACCTGGATGGAAGAAACCTCAATTGCACAATTGTTTGATCAGATTGTCCTGTGACCATGTCAGTAAGCAATTGTTTTGATTGATTATTGGTGTGGGAGGGAGCAGTCCACTAAGGGTGGCACTGACCCTAGGCAGGCAGTTTTGATATGTGTAAGAATGGGTAAACATGGGCTAGTGAGTGAACCAGTAACTAGCATTCCTCAGTTTTTGCCTTACTTCCTGTTTGTGCCCCTCAGTGATGGCCTGTGACCTGGAAGTGTAAGCTGAAATAACCCCCTTTTCCTGTGTTGCTTTGGTCATGGTGTTTATCACACTAACAGAAAGCAATCATGGGCGATTGCATTGTTTTTTAAAAATAAATTAGTCGATATTCTTTCAATATAGCTTCCACAGTTCTCAGTTATTTTGGACTGAGAACTCATGTGATTTGTTATCCTGATATGTATTTGGGAAAGCAGGAGATCAAGTTCTTTTATTGGTCAACAAGAGTTTGTGCTGCCTAGTTTTGTGTCAACTTGACAAAAGCTAGAGTTATTTAGGAAGAAGGAATGTCAATTTAGAAAATGTTTCCATCGGATTGGCCCTTTGGCAAGCCTGTGGTGTGTTTTCTTAATGATGCCAGAGAGCTCAGTTCCCTGTGTGTGGTGCTGCCCCTGGGCTGATGGTCTGAGATTGTATAAGAAATCAGTCTGAGCAAGCTATGAAGAGCAAGCCAGTCAGCAGCATTTCTCCATGACCTCTGCATCAGTTCCTGGCTCCAGATTGCAGTCTTGAGTTACTGCTGTGACTTCCTTCAATGATGGACTTCCTTCAGTGATGTAAAAGTAGAAGCAAAATAAACCCCCTCCTTCCCAAGCTGCTTTTGGTCCTGGTGTTTTATCTCAGCAATAGAAAGCAAACAAAGATAGAGCTTGTTTAAGTAGTGAGGGAATCATGAGCCTCAGGGTAGAGACTCCTGCAAAGGCCCATTGGCAGCTTCTCATGTAAGATGCAGACCTCACCAATCCTAAGAGAAATATAACTTGAGAGAGAGAGTGTGTGTGTGTTGCTCTATTATAACAATCAGTTAATGGGCTCTAGAGTGAGAAGTGATCTTTCAATGAAAGAAGCCCTAACTTCATCAGATTTATTCAGCTTTATAACTGCTGTCTTTTCTCTGCCTTCTATTTCCATGCCTCCAGCCCCACTCTTTTTTCCTCTCCTTTCTTTCATCTCTTTTCTTTCCTCTTCCCTTCCCTTTGCCTTGCTTTCCGTCCGTTTCTCTTTCCTGACTCCTGTACCTTTGCCCTTCTCTTCCCATCTTCCTCCCCCTACTCTTATCCTTCCTTTACCTTCTCTTTCCCCTTCCTCTTTTTTCCTTTTCTCATTCTCCTTCCCTTCCCTTCTTCCCTTTCCTGTCCTTTGTTTGAAACAGGTCGGTGTACACATCTCAGGTTAGTCAGGTACTTACTGTGTAGCTAAGACTACACTTCAGTGCAAGCATCACCAGTGCCTTGCCATGCAAGTCCTGCTTTGTGTCTTATTAAACGAATCTCTCTTTACTGGGAGTACAGGATAGTTTGTCTATATGCTTTACTATAGTTTTAAAGTTTTGCTTTTACATGAGTCTTTAATCTCTCTGGTTGTTACTTTTTTGTGACTAGTGAAAGATTGGAATCTAATTTCATTGTTTTCATGTGGATGACTTCCTGTGTTTTTCCAGTTTCACTTTTGAGTCATTCTTCCTCTCTCTTGATCTTGTCTTGGCTGTTGTGTATGCAACTTCTCTCCAATGAAGGTCTCCATTGTTTATGGCTAGCTAGTTTCTCTGGCTTTGCTGACATCATTACTGTAGCTTAGTTACTGTTGATGTTCAATGTGCAGATCTTTCTTCCTTGTTGAGCAGAATGGTGCTGCCTGAACCCTTTCCTTTGATGGCTCCATGTTCATAAAGAAACAATGTTTGGAGAATATCTTTTCTTTAGAATATCAGTTATGATACTTTTGATGGTATTGTAAAAAGTTACATACTTTGGGGGGCTGGAGGGGTGTCTCAATGGTTAAGAGCACTTGTTGCTCAAACAGAGAATCTGAGTAAGTGACCAGCAGCTATGCTGCAGTTCACCAACTATCTGTAATCCAGTTACAGATGGTCAGATACTTCCACAGACACTTCACACATGTGGTGCACAGACATACATGCAGACAAGACACCAGACACACAAAATAAATAAATAATATTTTAAGAAGATGCACTTTTGCTATGTTTGTCACAGATTTTAACCCTTTACACATATGTAACATGTATTTTACTTCACTGCTGTGCATTGACTAGAACTCAAGAAGTGTTAAATAATGGTGGCAATCACAGTTACTAAACCAAAATTATTCTTAATTCAAAAGGTATGCAGACTCACAATTTGAAGAAAAGCTGCTTCTCAGTTGTCATTCTTCTGTTCACTGTTTAAAGTAGCATATGGACAATGGATTCCTCTATGGCATTTCATGCATGCTTTGTTCTGATTTGTCCCCCTTCCCACACCTCTCCCTCATCCCTTGTCTCCCTGCTGCTGTCTTCTCCCACAGCCCCTGCTGCCTAATCTCATGTGTGTTCCATCTTCTTCTTTTGTCTTTCCACCCTCAAGAGTTCTTCTTCCCTGCTATTTCTAACTGCAGCATGTGCATACACACACACACACACACACACACACACACACACACACACACGTCAATGCACACACATGGACACATGCACTAATTGGCACAT